TTTCATTCATATGGTTATTTTCTCTTCGCCTAATTTTTTTCCTTTTATGTAGCGCCAATTCAACTGGGATCCAAGGCAAACGTTACTCATTTGGACACACTTTGATAAAGATGCGAGTTGCATTTTGATGTCGAATATGCGTAGGATTAGGAAGTGCTGGATCCGAGGTTACGATAAGCCCGAGTGGTTGAATCCAATGGTTTGGGAGAAAATTGTCCATATGTTCCAACAACTTGGTGCAGACGATATCTGCTGGGACTATTTTTACTGAACTTCTACAGTTATTTGCTTTTGAATGTTTTCAATGTTGTTTCCTATGTGTTCTCAATTTCTCTGCTTTTGAATGTTGTTTGTGCTTTCTGAATTTCTTTTTGAACTTCTTTGTAATCCCAAACATATATCTTATCTTTTGAATCATGTTTTTATCAATTTTTCTTCATTTTGGCCATTTTAACAGACATAAAACTCAGTCGTAATGTTATCAATAACTCAGCCGTAATGTTATCCATAACTCAGCCATAACATGTATAAGTCAGCCATACCCCAAATATGCGTTATGTCAATTTCTTGTTATAACTCAGCCGTAACGGAATCATGTAATTAATAGGTTATTGATAACTCAGCCGTAATGTTATCTATAACTCAGCCGTAATGTTATCTATAACTCAGCCATAACGTAGTATAAGTCAGCCATACCCTAAATATGCGTTATCTCAATTTTTAGTTATAATCAAGTTATGAAATCACTTAAATCACATAAATATTAGGTTTAAATATGATACAATCATGTTACCATATTATTCATCAATAATTTAGACTTTGTTGGTAACATTTCGAAAACTATCACACAAGAACAAGTTTCTAATCATAACCAACACTACATAATTTGAATTGGATGAAATTGTGTAAATTTTCCATTTTCTTTTCAAAATTAACAATCTTAACATGCATATTTGCTGGTAATATATATTTATTATATGTCATATCCATTATATACTTATATAATTGCTAATTATAAATTATAACTATACTCTTAACTCAGCCGTAACTTGAACACATTAACTTAGCCGTCACATAATTATAAGTCAGCCATACCCTATTTCTCATTTAACATGAAAAGAAATCTTAAACAACACTTATTACAACATAATCAGTCTAAACATCATGAAACAACAATTATATTCTCTCCCATAGCCATACAATTGCGATTCCTATTACAGAGAGTAGACAAATTGTCTTCAAAGCTGTCTTACCCATATCATCCTCAATCTTCTTCATCAATTTTTCTTCAAGCTTCTTACTCAGTTCTTCCTCAAGCTTGTCAAACATTTCTTTTTGTAGATCTAAATTTTGAGTATGTTGATGCCTTAAGTCCGTCACATCTTCTTCTATTCTCTGTACCTTTGCGTCGACCATCTTAATTTCTTCAACCGATGCCTCATCAACCCATTTGAAGAAATGCGACTCATTCGGCCTCTAATTAACAAAAACCAACATCGATACCCATATGTTAACAATAAAAAAATTAAATGAAAATTTGTACCTTCAAAGCAATCGAGCATCTATAGAAGATACGGTAAGGGTTTTCCTTTGTCTTCGATATGTATGTGATGATATCGTGACCACACCAACATCCGCAATTCGTCGGAAGATCTGGAGGGTAAGCACCATGTGCTGAACGATATGAACTCGAAGAGTAGTCGCTCATATTAAAATTGAGAAGTAGAATTCTTTAATCGAAGATAAACCAAGAAATCGGATGTGAATCCCAGAAATCGATAAGAACCCTAAATCCCCAATCTGATCGCTCGATTATGACTATAAGGGAGAAGAAAGAAGTAAACGACGTCGTCTGGAATTAACTCGGCCAAACCACGAATTTAATTTATGATAAGTCAACCAAACCTCATTATATAATTCAGTCGTAACGTTATGTTATACCTCAGACGGAACGTAACTATAACTCAGCCATACCCCGAACTTGAATATCAAAATCATAAATCAGCCATATCTAACGTATAAATCAGCCGTAACATGATTATAACTCAGCCATAACATAGTCATAACTCAGCCAAACCTCGAATTTTAAATATAAGGTTATTTATACATTCATGTTATTAGAACACTTAGATAAGAAGAATTTAAGGTTTCTATTCACTGTGAAATTGAATATAATCAAATTAGCTATTGTTTATACCTTTTAAGACTTATGTATCCAACAAAGAGATAAATCCTAGTAATGCTTGTCTATTCTATCTTGTAATACTATAATTTAATACAATTCTATCTTTTATATTCGGGTGAATTTTATTTTTTACATTAAAGATACTTTTTAATATATTCTAATACCATAATGTTAAGTTTATTGTTCAATTTAAAATGCTTGTTTATTGTTGAGTTTAATTTGTCTTTCGGAACTCAGCCATAACATAACCATAACTTAGCCATAACGAGACCATAACTTAGCCATAACAGACTTATGTACAAAACCACAAATGATCCATGATTCCAATAATTTACATATTATCATAATAAGTCTAGTACAACAAATTATTACTGAAACTGACTGTAATAATCCGCTGCCTCATCGAAAATATCTGCTGCCATCTTCAGCCGTATACCTTGGATATTTTCATCACAGAGGCCATCGAAACTAACACCAAGTGCTAAGCATTCCACATATTTGAGAGACTACACACCACAGTCCCCGGGATTACGGTTTTGAGGGACCTTGGATATACTCTTCCTTCTGAAGGAAAACATCG